ACTCTAACAATAAAAGTAAAAATAGGTCATTAGGCATATATATTGATAGAATTCAGTGAAATTTGTTCAAAACTTTAAATATTTCATATCTGAGCCATTTCTTTGTTGTCTCATGATTACTCTTTTTTATTGTCAGTGTAAGTTATTTAAGAAAGGAATGTAGCTTATGGAAACACTTGAAAACATTCCTTTAAAACTGTCTGTATGCAAATGTCAAGTTTTGATGTACTTAGAAGTCTGCATAACCCATCCTGTGTGAAATAAGCAATACGAATTGCTTGACTTTTTCTCTGCAAGAATTAACTGGCATGATGCAGTGGCTTAATGTGCTTGCATTTATACAGAAAGAATAAAGCACCAAATTGTACTTTTTATTTTTAATTCATTGTCTTTCATCAAGTGTGTACTTTAGAATATTATAATGACTTGCTGAATTGTTACTTGTGATGGTGTGTACTGTCATATGTATTCATGAAAAAGGCAGAAGTGAAAGTTTTAACTTACAATTATATTTTTCTGCCTCACAATTTAAGTGGAAATTTGGTAAAAATAGCTGGTATGAAATCTCTTATTCATCTTACAAACCCAATATCTGTACCAGTCTGCAACTAATAATTTCTTTTTTTCAAACGTTTAATTTTATGTTAACTATTAATAAACTCCAAGGTCAGTCTAACATAGTTTGTGTGTGTGTATAATACATACTATATATATTATATATATAATACATAAGACTATATAGAATTTTAGTTCTTTCATCATTTAAAGTATTCTTAATGAATTTTGGGGGTGAATATTTGGGAACTCTGTGTATGTTTCTTTATGGGGGATATATTGCTGGCTAAATATTTCTGCCTTTGAAGTGCTTGAGATGTGCATGAGATTTTATGAGAATGAACATTGAAATGTGGCTTCTTCAGGAAAGCTGTCTTAATTTCTCAAATAAGATTATCAGGCAAGGGTGTTCTTGCAGTTAGCCTATGTACCTTCTCCTTCTTGCCACTCAAATTGCTTTTGCAGTGTTGTCTTTTAAGTAGATTTTTTCGTGGTGTTATTGGAGATACATGCCTGGTGTCGAATGTATCGTGAGTCATTTGATTAAAATAGTGCTACTTTAGAGTTATTCTCATCAAACTGCTGAGAATCATCATCATTCTGTCCTTTTCAGATAGCTGAAGAAACAAGTTGTACCATGGTAAAGTTCCATGTTGCACCATGGTAAAGTTCCATGTTGCAAATTCTTTTATGAAACACTAGTATAGTTTCTAGAGTTTTCCTTACAGGTATTACACTTCGCAGGTAATTTTCTCCTATGCTGTATGTAAAGCTCTAGTAGGTGTTGTTAAAAAACTGCTAGCGTTTTGCCATTTAAGGTGCATTATTTATGTTTTTATTAAGTATGATTAAAAATACAGAGGGCCTACAAGGATGCCGGAGAGTGACTCTTCATCATGGACTGCAGCTGTAGAACAAGAAGCAATGGGTTTTAAATTAAACAGAGGAAGTTCAGGTTAGATATAAGGAAGTTCTTTGCTGTAAAGGTGTGAGGAACTGAACAGGTTGCCCAAAGCTCATCCCTGGCGGTGTTCAAGGCCAGATTGGACAGAGCCTTGGGTGCCATGGTTTAGTGTGAGGTGTCCCAGCCCATGGCAGAGGGGTTGGAACTTGATGATCTTAAGGTCCTTTACAACATTCACCATTCTGTGATTCTATGATACAGGTAGCCAAGTGTTTAAGATCTAAGGGCTTTTGTTGTTTTAATTTAGTTTAATGTAATGATTTTCTGGTCCATCATTCCTGATAAAACTGCTGTTTCCTGGGAACCCAAGGAAACTTCTGTTTCATGTGCTTTAACGAACTTTTCAGAGAGGCACAAGGAAGTTCAGCTGAGCATTAGTGAAAACTAGGACTGCTCTCATAAGCAGTTGACAAATGCAAGCTAAGGCCATTCTCCATGCTGTTTTTGTTGCATGGTGGTAGAATGCAGAAGCATTATGTACATTTTTTGAGAAGTAACTCCTTAAAAAGATGTAAAAAGTACTTTTGGCAGCAGTTTTTACTTAATACCAGTGCTCAGTAGTAAGTGTCTGGTTTTCAAATGCTAAAAATAATTTAACATCCAATATTGAAAAAATAGGTGAATAACATTAAAAATGTGTATATGCATAACAGTATTACTGTGGTTACAATACTATGGTCTGTACAACCTTGATTCAGATCACTTGTGTCTGTACATTGTGACAGGAAATATATATATAGCCCATGCCTGTTTTACTAAAGTAAAAAAGCTTTTTACATCTATGTGGCTATCCATTTCTTGATGACCAGCTGGTGAACACTGAATCTGACTTAGGTACACCTGAGATGTCCTAACTGCAGTTAAAGTTGGGGAATGTGATATAATACTGAACATCTTGAAAAAGATTGTCCTGGGTATCTCCCCTTTGCCTCCCAAAATAGACAGGTATGTTTACACTAACCTGTCCCAACCCCCTTTGCTGTTCTTGAGAGGTTTGTTGTGAAAAAATTTTTTCAAGCTCATATTGAGAATAATGAGTTCTGTAAAGAAGGCAAGTATGATTCCTTAGGGGGTGATGAGTCAGGTAAATAACTTCTTAAAAAGAGTTGCTTATTATATGAGCAGTATCACTTTTGTATATTGAATGAAGCCGAACTCTGTTGTAAGAAGAACGTACATGTCATTTGATAATTTATAACTCTATTACCTGCCTGGAAAAAAATGGAAAGTATCTGGAGTTCCACCCAGTTCTTACTGGAAGCAGTGTAGCATTTTTAAAAAACAACTAAATTTGTGTGTCTCATGTCAGGACAGTATACCTTATCTAGTGTATTTACAATTTTGAGAAGAGTGAGCAGAGAAAGTAATGTGAAGATAATTATAGGGATTGAACAAAACACTTGGCTGGTTGTTTTTTGTCTCTCATGGTGGCTTAAGGAGATCCTTCAAAACGTGGAGAGGCATACAACAGTGTTTTCCATAGTGAACTTGTAGCAGCCTGTGTAGGGGTCTGCCTGAGCCAGAGATTCTCGTTTGTGTTTAGCAGTTCTTGGTGTACTTTCCTCTCCCTCAAGGATTTGTATAATCATTTTGAACTCATCTAGGTTTTTGACAGTGGCAGCATAATGGAAGAGCTGTTCCACAGCTTAACCACTATTTATTTGTGTGTTTTGGGCATTTCTTAATCTCGATACCTGGTGATTTAGTTTAGGTATTTTATTTCTAGAAATAATGAAAAATTGTTCTTCATTTACCTTCACACCATTTTTTATTTTTAACTTGCATATTCTTAAATAACTTTTTATTCTCCAGGCTAAATAAAAAGTCTTAAGCATGCTTAATTCCCTTCATAATTAGAAGAATTCTATTATCTTTTTCTGTATTTTTTTAAAGTTCTTCTATACTTTTTTTATGACTGGGGGGGCAGAGCTAGGGAAAGAAAAGAGACCAAAAAAGTGTGCATCATTCAAGATACGAGCACACAAAAGTTTCATACCAGAACATAAAGGATTTCTAGTTTTGTGTTGAAGGTTTGGAAGTCAGTACGTTTTGTGTCATTTTTCCCCTTCAATACTTTTCTGAAGTTTTAATATTCTCTTTCCTTTTTTGGATTACCCCTGGTGTTTTCTCATAGGGTAAAGTCTATTTATATGGTAGTTACCTATTTGGTAACTCTATTTTCTTCTTATTTTTTCTCAGTTATAACTCTATGCACAATTAATTCTTATGCTTCATATGGATTACTCATTTACCTGTTTGGAATTTTATCTGCCATTTTATTTTTCAGCTTCTCAATATTTTGATACTGTGGTACAGTTTTCAGCAGTCAGCTTTGTTTTCTGTTGCAGTGGATGAGTAACTAAACCAAGAAAATCAGCTTCCTCACTCTTCATATATGACTGAATTGTTCTTGTGGTGACCTCTTTTCACCAAAAAACCTGGGTATTTTTTTTTAACCTTTTGGGATTTATTTTCTGCTAATATAGCTCTTCATAAGAGGATCCTCTTCTTTGCAGCCATGACTATTTAGTGTTTTTTAAGACCCTTTGGTAAGGGAACTTAAGTATCTTGGAAATCTAAATAAGTCAGCCGTATCATTGTTCCTTCCTCCTGATTCCTTTGAATGACTATTAATAGAAATAATCATTATCATATACAAAAGTAACATTTTTTTTCATGTAGTATCCTGTTTGTGTGTCTACTAATTCTAGCCTTTATTGTTTGTACAGGTTTCCCTAGCTAAGGTATCAAATCTACTTGTGTACAATTCCCAGGAGCCCTTTTTTATAAAGAAACCCCAACCAAACAGTCCATGTTTGTCATCTAGTACTCCAGTATGGGGAGTATTTTTAGCCAAATATGTAAACTGAATATGTAGATTCAATAATTGAAAACTCTGGGAAGACTACCTTGTAGTTCTGGTGACTATTCTTTTTACTGCTTCTGTTTAGAAAACTTTCTTTTTGAGATAACTCCTCTAGGATATGTTCATTTAAGTTCAGTATGTGAGCCTCGGAAAATTCCTATGTATTAAATACATTGGCTTTTCTGTGGGTTTTTTGAACTTCAGTGCTGTAAAGCCAGTAATGAAAGAATGTAAATTGTGCAAATATGAACAGACTGTTTTGAGGACAAAAAAAATAGCATCTCTCTAGCTCCACATTTTTCTTAAATTCTATGTATGGGAGTTTTAGTTTACTACAAAGGAAGCTTTTTAGATGTTTTTTTCAATCCTGAAGTGCTGATTGTTTTTTTCATACTCTTGCTGTGTTCAGTTACTAAGCTTATTTGGTTGAAGTTTTGCTCAGAAAATGCCAGTCTGAAACAAAGTGTTCTGAAAGATTTTAGCCTGAATGGGTACTGTGAGTAATGCTTAACAGTGAGTAATTGAAAATAATAATTATATCAGCCAGACCTGTGGTATGAGTTGGTGACTGGTTTTTGTTTTGTTTTGTTTCTTTCTCCCTACTTTTTCTTTAAGCCTATGGAAAAGTGTTCCTTGTAAGGAAAGTAAGTGGCCATGATGCTGGAAAGCTGTATGCGATGAAAGTACTGAAGAAAGCAACAATAGTTCAAAAAGCCAAAACAACTGAACACACAAGGACAGAACGACAAGTGTTGGAGCACATTAGGCAATCGCCATTTCTGGTCACTTTACATTATGCCTTCCAGACAGATACAAAGCTTCATCTCATTTTAGGTGAGTAGATTTCAGGATTTAAGTCTGAAAAAAGTCCCAAAACAAACAGACAAAAAAAAACCCAACAAACCCAAACCCTGCTCTTTTATCTCCTTAATATTTTGTGGGGTTTATTTTTCATGTGGTTTTAAGTACCGTGTGTTTGGAGATTGCATGAGAGACTATAGGAAGTAAAATACTGTTAATGTGCAACAGTGTCTGTGTTTGTGGTTTTCCTGTTTGAAATTCAGGGTGCTACTTTGACTTAAGGCGGGTGGAAGTATTATCAGTGACTTATATGCATCAAAAAAAATGTATAGGACAATAAGTACTTGAACCAGAAAAATGTTTTCTTGAACTTGACTAGAAGAAGAAATTTTTATTTGTACTTTTTAAACCATTATTACATGCCTCCTAAATTTTGCACAGATTTTTAAACAAACTGCTACCGTGAATGAAAATGTTCTTAATCTGTATGAGTATGGGCATTAGAGTGAGTTACTTTATTTTTTCTGCTTGTTGTTTTTGTGTATGTGGCACAGAGGTTATTATTAGTAAGGTGGGATGACCAAACGTGACTTTGTTACTAGGAGTAGCTGGTAGGAAAAAAAGTAAGGAGTATTTAAGCAGCAGAAAGCCTTCCAAGCATACTGTATGTTTCACTCTAAACCCATGTTGTGTATTGTCCTTACTGTGATCAGTGTTTTTGAAGTGTTGTCATCTGTCTGAGAGGACACGGCTATTTATCACTATGCTAACGAGTAGTATGCCATTTTAACACTGAAATGCTGTGCTCTTAAAGACTGTCTGAGGCAGTTCTTCTTAACAAACATGGGCAATGCCAGTTAGAGATGACTGCTTTTTTTCTGGTCAAATTCCTTACAACACTGTAATCTACAGCTTGTTGGTATGGCTCCCTGCTGTAAAATGCTGATGAAAATACTTGTATTGTGGGTCAGTTTGTTTTATGCATTGTGATGCTTCATTTTGGCAAGTAACTTTTGTAAATCTGCATTTACAGGAGATGTTGGATAACAAACTATTGGATGGCAAGCCTTATTAGAACATTCTTTATTCTGTTTCTATCCTTACTATTTGCTTTCCATTTTGATGTGAAGAACCACATCAGTTTCTGTAGCATTTCAAGGCTGGCAGAAGACGTATCAGGAATTTTGCTAGGGCTTTCCCCAAAACAGTAATGTTTTGGGGAAAGAGGCTGAGATTAGAGAGTTGTATTCCTTTTGCTTTATTCCCCGGTTACATTGCTTTCAAAGAGTCATATCTTTTCAGGAAGATGAAGGATTTCTCCTGATAATGAGGAATGTTTTTCCAGCTCCTGGAGTAACAGTATTAAAATCAACTCTTAACCTTACTGCTTCAGGAAGCATTTGCTGCCAAAACGTTTTTTTGTTTTTTTTTTTTTTTTTTTTTTAATGAAACGTTTTGATCTTTGAGTATTGAGATACTGCATGTTTTGATTTTTCAATGTTAAGAGGCAATCCAAAATCACACATTTCTATGCTGAAAGTACAGCTTGTTCATAAGACTTGGTACTACCCTAAAATTAGGAATACTTTTACCTTTCAGATCAGCAACAAATTTTGTGTTTGGTATGCAATATGTATTTGTAAGAAAATTACAAGCAGTTTGAAAAGGCCGCTTACTTACAGTATTTGGAACTGGAAAGTGAATAATCCAGTGAATGCTTGGATGCAGAATACGTTTTTGGAGTGAAAATTTGAAGAAGTAAATGGTCCCTTAATTGAAGTACAAGTTTTGTACTTCCTTTTAGCTTGTAACTTCAATTTATTGAACCCTTATTAGGAGGCTGATTTAGATATTAAATTAGTAAAATTTTATTAATGTTACATACATCTACACCACTGTCTGTCAGTTCTTAGGAAGGTGTTCTATACACATACCTTAGCTTCATTTGCTACAGGGAGGTAATACAGGTATCTGAGAAGCTCAAGCTTAAATAGAGTATTCACTAGATTAGTTCGCAATTCTCAACTCTCATTTTCAATAAGGATTCTTACAAATTCCTCTGACTAGGACATCAAATAAATCTGTAAGCTAGTGTCTTTGGCTGGAAAATGCTAAAGACACAAAAAGTTAGAAATACATTGATAGCTTTGTTGATAACCTTTAATAATGAAGATTTTTTTTTTTTCTTCTGTATTGAAGTTAGGGTTAGGAATTTTGGAAAAAAAAAAGAAAAACAGAATGAGACAGAATGTGAACATGTGTTACAGATACTATAGTACAGTTCTTTAAATCCAGATATTTTTTGGTTAGAATGCAGTTTAGATACCATTAAAATATATTAAAAAAAGCACCAAACCCAACAAGTCCTCACACAAGATGGATGTAGTTACCTAAAAATATATACACAGTTGTAGAGAAATTTAGGTGACAAGGATAATTAGAAGGCCAGAAGAACTGCTTACATATGAAGGGCAAGTTAAAAGCTTACATTGTAGTCTTGTAAGAGTCAAAGAGTAGGAAGCCCAGTAGTTCTGAAGAGCATTGGATAGCAGATAGTGCAGGTTGGGTATACACCCACCATGACACAATGTTAAGGTGATGTTTAAAGTAAGAAATTCAAAGCTGTTGTATCATTAGAGGTGTTTTGGTTTGGTTTTTTTTGTTTTGCGTTCACACAAAGACTGCGTGAACCCGTTCTCAGAGTATCAGTTGAGGCCAAAAAGGTTCTTTTATCCCCTTCCTTTTAGCAAAAAATGTGAATAATTAGGGTGGTATTAAAAATTTCTTTTAGTCACTTTTTGTAACAGTGAAAATCTCGCCTATGTAACATGGCCTAAAGCTACTTTTTCTTTGTCCCTGGCCTTCATACCTTCCTGACAGGAAAAAAAAACAATTGTTTGTTGCAAGTTTATTATATCTCATTATATAAATCTCTGTAAATAACTTCTTCAGTTTAGTGTTGGAATTTGTTTTTCAGAGGCTTCTGAATTTTTTGGGAAACCAGTCTTTGACTTTGTTTTTGTAGCTGAGCTTGGTGTATGAGCAACATGTCATTTGAGTTTCAAGAGGTTTTAGAATTGGAGCCTCAGTGCAATATTTAATACAATTCTTTGTTCCGTCAGATTCCATAGCTGTATGAATTTTGTCTGGATCAAGTGCAGACATGCTGTTGCATTTCTGCCAAATTCCCCCAATACAGGGTTTGGAAATGATTCCGTTTTTTAGGTTGACTTTAAGCTATGATTGAAAGAACAGTGTTGTATCCTTGTGAGCACCAGTTCTCTACAACCGGTTTTCTACAAAGCTTATCACATGAGGTTAAACTACTGATACTTAAACAAAAATTAATAAAACAGTATGACCTGTCAGCTGGAGTTTATATTGAAGTAACTGATAGTTAGAGGTTTTTGGTTTTTTTTTTCCCTCGTGTCAGTGATGCATTTGATTTAGCACCAAGAATTTGAAGGCAGATTTTTTCATTGGGCTGTGTTTAGTGTTATAACCTGAACAGAATTAGGCTTGTTCTGTCCCTCCTGTGGCAGTTTGGCTCATATCTGTCTCAGTCATTAGAACAGTGCCTGGAAATTTAATTCTTGAATCGTACTAAGTTAGCAGTACTGACTAGGTTTTATTTTTTTTTAATTATTTATGTTTTCTTCATGGTTAGAATGCGGAGTTGTGCGCTTTGGTTTTTTTAAGAAGGAAGCAATTGTAAAATATGGGTTATTTATACTCTTACTATATTTTCTTTTTCAAATGTGTGCTGATCTAGATAAATTACCTTCTTCACATTCTTTTATTCCACCAATACCCCTTCCCAAACAGAGACTTGGAGAACTGAAAAGAGAAAAGAGATCAGAATGTCTATAATTTATGTATTTATGCTTTCTCCTTCCAGGTATTTACTTACTTATAACAGTATTGAACCTTTTCCATGGATTTATGTATTATACCAGTGAATCTATAGAAACCATACTGAAGGAAGTGTTAAGTCAGACTTGGAACACATTCCTTGTGCTGTATATGTAGGCTCTAAATACAATATGGGGGCTTTGGGATTGCAAATTAACGACTTTAATGTACAATGCTAGCATAAACAGCTGTACATCTACAATATATTTGTGTTGCAGTGGAACTTTGTTTTAAAAATTGGCTTTATTTCACCACCACCACCACCACCTTGACTGTGGTCAAAACCCTTGTGTCATAGCCTGCAGAGAATCAAAGTGTGGTTTCCATGAGGGAATGTATGTAGAAATAATCTTCTCCAGTAAGTTTTGCCATCAAAGTTCCCCTTACAAAGGGTGAAACTTGTAATTGCCCATTATTTCACCTAATACCTGTTTTCTGAATTGCCTTTATGTTGGTCTGCCTTGTTGCTCCAAAGTATTTCATAAGAGTGTACAAAGTATTCTGTTTGTAGCTATCATTTGTACTCCTTTTTTTTTATATATTCCTGAATAACTGAAAGTCCAATTTTGAAGAAAATATTAATATTTCTAATTCATGGATAGTTGAGGTTTATTTTATAGTTTTACTGCCTGTTGAAACATTTGTTGTGTTCTTCCTTTAGTCCTCTAAGAAGAAAACTGAGTATTGTACATGGTGAAATATTACTGAATTACAATGAAGTAACAGCATCTGATCGCAGAAGAGTTATTTAATAGCTTACAAAGTACCTATTAATATTCCAGTAAGAAAATTAAGTTGTCAGAAAGTGAAATTAAAAGGTTCTTTGTTCTACTTTTTAGACTATATAAATGGAGGAGAATTGTTTACTCACCTTTCACAGAGAGAGAGATTCTCAGAAAATGAGGTGCAAATTTACATTGGGGAAATTGTTTTGGCACTTGAGCATCTCCACAAGGTAAAGTAACTTTGTGCTCATTTTGTGGGATTACAACTGTATTCTTTTTACATTACATAAAGTTAGTAAGAAGAACTATTTTTTTTTAAGTTGTTTTAAATTCAAAGTAACTTTATGTAGCAACTGAACATTAGTTGTATAATTAGAAAAATTTCCCAATGGAGTGTCTGTTCATGTGCACCAGATTAAGACTGCATGTTTTTGTCTGCAGCATGTAGTCTTGCTTTGTGTCACTTTCAAATTCAAAGGGTATAGTATGTCCTTTAAGTTTTAAGGTATTAATGTACAGTGTAATTTCTAAGAATTTTTAAGTTGCTAAAAGTTTTTTTCAAAGGGATTTAAATATTGTGCTTTTTTTGAGGTGCAACTTTCAGGGTCAAATTACCTTAATAATAAGAAATTCACTAGCATTGTGTTTTATTTAAATACATTAAAAAATGTCTCCTTGATGTGTTTACATTGATTTGGAAATACTTTTATTCTCTTTGCAGTTGGGAATTATATATCGGGATATAAAACTTGAGAATATTCTCCTTGATTCTGATGGCCATGTGGTGCTGACAGACTTTGGTCTGAGTAAGGAGTTTCTTACTGATGAGGTAAGTGTTTGAATCTCCAGTAAACGTGGATGGAATCCATCAAGATCACAAAGTCAGATTCTGTCTCATTGAAATCATAAACACAGTTGAGAGGGGAGAAAAAAAGAATTGCCTTTAGATTCTTCATAGATTGAAATCTACTAGTCTGTTTTACTGGGGTTTGAGCTTCCAGCTCATTACTTTTTGGCCTGCCAATGTTGTCAGACATTTTTGTCTGTTCCAGTTTTCCCTGAAATACCTCCATGCTCCCTCCTGCTGCCCTGTATGTGAAAAAAGGAGAGATCCCCATAAGTCTGAGAAGCCACTTACATTAACATTTTCAGATGTTTTTTAGAAAATGCTTGATTGTACTAATACTTTGCAGTGACTAGGCAAATGGTATGCTATGACTCTTCTTTATGCTAATAATAATTAATGTATTATTATCGTGTCTCTTTCTCATGTCTTTGTGTCACTTTTAATAGGCTTAATTGCAAGCTTTTAGGATAAAAGCTTGTATCTTATTAAATATGTATGTAGCACTTAACATAGTGATCTCTGACTGTTGATGTTAGTTCTTAATTATTTGTAAGGTACAGTTCTATCTCCAGATAGGCTTTTTAGATTCCTGAGGGTCAAAATTGCACAGGATTTCACTTCTGAGAAAAATGTTAAAATGGCTATTTCTTGACTTTCACTTTAGGTATCAGAGGTATTGAAATCTGGGAATACAGATCTAAAAGTCTGTGTTAGAAGCAGCAGAAGGATTTTCTAAAAATAGGTAGCTCGTAGTTTCCTCTAGAATATTTGCATTTCAAATGGAGTCTGGTAGGATTTGGGAGGTACCGTTTTAAGAGCTACAGAATGTTACTTTCTGAAGGAGAGAAATAGTACTGATAATGGGCGTATATTTCTTTTATATTATAGCGTGAAAACAAGAGGAAGTTCAACTGGCATGACAGTGTATTAGCAGCCAGACCAGTGCAAGGGAGGAGGTAGCAAGAGATGCAGTTTTCAGCAGGAAAGATAGTAAAAGGTGTGTCTGGGAAGAGTAGGACCTTCTTACAGTTGTGAGAGAAGCTGCGCTGGGCATAAGAGAAAAAGTAAACTGGGTGGAATGGTATTACTGCACTGATGGGAGAGAAAAGGAGCAGTCATCCAGCCTTTGAGCTGAAGTTGAATGAAGCTGGAATCTTCCCTATGATAAGAATGTCATAATGAATCAGGACCTTCCTTAAGTCTCAGTACAGAGGGTTTTAGGAAATATAGGTATTCCTCATCTGTGCTCACCTTTGGAATGTCATTTATAAACAGTGCAAGGAAAGGGAAGGACTTGGATAAGCATCAGAGATGCCTCTCTGCTTTTCCTATACTCTGAGTTGGATTCCTCTTTCTCCAGACATTAAATAAAGCAGTCTTGCCACTTGGTCATTTAATGTTGGTTCCTCTGACTCTAATCCATTCAATTTTCAGTATATACCTCAGATTTATTTTTGTTCTCATATTCTCCTTCACATTTTATATTTGTCTTCCGTGTTAAAAAAGCTCAGCATTTCTAATGTTTCTTTTTAAGGAAAAAAGTAATTGTAGTTTTATTGTTCACTTTCAAAATCTAAGAATTTGTCTGAGCTTGACTGCAATTTTCATGTATGCTGTGGTGATTTAGCTACTGAATCTAGACATGATTAGAATGACCCATTTAAACATAGAACTTGACATTCCATATTGTATTCTCTTTAGACAATTCAGCTACTACTAGAACACTTATAATTTGCATTACAAAAGATATTTAACTTATGCTTCTGAACCATGTACTTAGAGAAGGTAAAAATTGCCTGTATAACTGCATAGCTTTATGTTTGTCCGCATGCTTATTGGGTAGCACTTTTAAATAAAACTACATAACTTCATAAGTCAGATAAGTGTGTAGCATTTTCAGTTTGATCGGATCAGTATGCTTTTCTTTCTCCCCTTCACACTTCTTTCCTCCCCTGTCCTGCTTCTTGCAAGAACTTTGCCATTAAAAGTATGCTTATGCAAATGTAATTTATTCTAGTAACTCCCCTCTTTGAATTGTATTTTCTCAAATGAGATATAGTTATTAAGATAAAAACTTTCAGCAATTACGAGCATGTACTGTGTTTAGAATTCTTTACCATGTATTTATGAATTTCGGTTGGTTTTGTAGTTAGGGATACTTGCTTGGAAAGATCATAGTTCAATGTTTTCATTATTCCTGCTTTTATCTGATGGCTGTTAAATATTTCCAGGTACCTGAGCAAGTATAGAATCTAACAAGCTGTTCAATAATAAAAGTATATTATTTCTTGACTATATAACTATAGCAGATTGACTATTCAACAATAAGAAGGTGGGAAGCTTCTTTTCCTAAGCACTATTTGAGTGAAAGGAAACAAATCCACGTGACTTCTAGGAAAACAGAAGCCTATTGATTTCTGCCTTGCAGCTACTGAAGCATGAGTGTGAAGAGTGCATTGTCAAATGTCCTCTTTGTTTTACAATTATTATGTGAAAGTGCTTATTACATGGAAGAATTACAAATCCAAAGCAGTGTGGTTTTAAGAGCTCTGAAGTGTTTTCTATTACTGTTTCACTAAAACCTGACATTTGTCTTGTACAAGTGAAATGGCAGTCTGGTTTTGCCTTTGGTTTATCTTTAAAATGAAATCCATATGCTTGTATTTGCATGCAAAAAGAAAAAACCTAATAAAAATTAGTCAAATTAAAATGAATTTTTGCATAGGATAGGTAGGTACCACAAGGTATTTAGGTATGAAATGACTTCTGGTATTCAAATATTATTTATTTGAAGAATAGCTCATGAAGAGCTACATTTTGACTAGTTTAACCATAGAATAGGATAGATTAACTTTGAAATGAATACTACCATTTTTAGTATTAAGTTTTATGGCATGTTATTCTTAGCCCCCATGATGAATTTAAGGCTAGTCTTTCTGATTTTTAACTCTCACCTGAATCGCAAAGAAAATCATCGTAAAAGAAGAAGACACTTTCCAGCCTTATGCTTTCATCCACTCAGTTGGGTTGCTTACAGGGATGTAGAATATATTTGCACATGACATTAATATAAATTAGTATCAGGGCATGGGTAATTGATAGGAGCAAAAGACTTCATGTTGAAACTTATACAACAGAGTCTTGTTCATAGCATAAGTGCAATCACTTTGGTGTTGCTATCTTTTTTTTTTTTGCCTTTATTTTGTTTTGCATTTCATTTATCTTAAAAAACAACAGCAACAACAACAAAAAACCAACAAAACCCAAAAACCCCCCCATAGCTGGTTTGTTTTTTGGTTTTTTTTTTTGTGGGTTTGTTTTTGGGTGTTTTTGGATTTTTTTTCCTCATCACATTTCATGTGTAGTAGCTCTATCTTCTGCTTTTGTGGTTTAGGGATATTTTTATCTTTTTAATGCATGAGTAGCTCTACTTGTATGCTGGAATTGTTTTGAGTTAGTTAATATCATTTTAACCTAGTCATCAGGTCTGGTCTTCATTTTAATGTTTATTGTTAAAAAGCTACTTAATTTTTTAAAATCTTTCTACCCTGTTCACATTTTTGTCTACTTCTGCCACTACACTAAAAATCATAGTTTAGCATACATGGAGATCTTGATGTCTTAGAAAGAATAATCTGAACATATTCATTGAATTATTGTTGTAGTAATCTATTCTATTGGACAATGCATAACAATTAACATTTCTCTTGAAATGAAATGCATAAAGTACCCTTTCTTTCGGGGTACAGTGAAATGCTCAGTTCTGCATTGGCACCTGTCTTCTGCATTAGCTTCTTCTGAAAAAAAAAAACCTACTTTTGAAGTTTTTATGTTTGCTTAATGAAGTTTAAAAAAAAAACATGTAGTAAATACTGAACGTTGTCAATCTTTAAACAACGTATTTAAGAGCATACAAATGCTTTAGTAATGAGTAGATATTCTGTAAGAGGAATGATTGAATTGCAATCCAAGTCTGGTAGATGGGTATCTATGTACGTCTGTCTAATGTGTAGAATGAATAGTTCATATACAGTATTTTTCCTTCTGAAAATCTCTTGATCAGAGTTGCAAATTTAGTTATAATGGTCAGATGCTTTTCACTGCTGAATTGCTGCTTGGTTTTGTTTTATTAGCTGGTTGAGTGAACATTTTGTTCTGGAAAGAAAATTAGTATGTAATTTTAAAAGATTTTTAAAGGAAATTTCATTAGAGGAAAAATGATTAAAAGGTGGTTAGTTCATAATGGATTTTGGTAGATGAAGTAGGAAGAGATTTGTGGACATTCTCAGGGCAGTTTAAAGACAGTCCAGAACAGAGTGAAGTGACTACAATCTGTCCCTTTTTTTGGTGCTGCATGAACTGTCATCTCACTTAAGTGACCCGTGCATTTAACTTTAAAAGACCCTTTATAATTATCCAATTAAATGGTAATGTCTGATCATTTAAATCTGATAGTGAATCCTCTGAGCATTGAGCATTTGCTTGTGAAGATGAGTTCGAATTACCCATACTGCAGATGACTGTTATTGTGTCTGCTTTTCAGTTCAGTTTCTGCATTTCAGTTAACAATTTTTCAGTGATGTAAACATATCAGTTCTAAGGAGTAACATTTCTGCAAAGAGGAAAAAGTAAGAAAAACTGAATCCTGAAGTTAGGCCACAGAAGTTAATATTGGTTATAGATCTGTCTGAATAATTAGTCATTATTTCCCTTATTTTGGAAAAGGAAATGAAACAATGGCACAACCATTTTGCTTTAATTGGTGTACCTCTGTTGGTGTTTTAAGTGTCCTGAAATTGAATATTGAGAGCATACTAGTTGAATATTGAGAACATTCTAAAGGCACATTACTGAACTGGATTCATTTAATTGCAAAACTGGATCATCAGTGACTAGATGTTTGTGCCTTAACCTAAGAGGTGTCCCTTTTTAAGTGTTTCTCACAAAGATGATTGTGCTTTCCCTGTATGGAGTAGTAATGT